AAAGCTCGGTCATTGCTGATGCACAACACTGGGCAGGGGCACGGGTCTTATACTGCAGCTCTCCAGCTGATGGCTACAGAAGTAGTCTTGCTCAAATCAGGAGGGAATCCCCATAATCTGAGAGCAGAAACTGGTTTTAACCTGTTCTTAAGCCTTCTTTGAAGGACAGGACTGCTGAAGCACAGTGGTACTGCAGAAGCTGCACAGGACACACCTGAGTAACACAGCAAGCAGGTGAACTGTCACAGAGCATTGCTGTGCAACTCAGACATGTTGAGCAGCCACTACAGCATCTTGCAAGGTGAGACCCCACCAAATGCACTGTTACCATCCCAGAGCTAGGCTGAGCAGCTCCACAGCTTGTGACAAGTTTGTCACAGCACAGCCACCTTCCAGCCTCTAAATGCTGCTGTACAAAGAAGTAATTACTGTCTAGACAGAAAGCAAGCACCATTCATTCAGGGTCGTGCAGCAGTGCTCGAGCAACTGCAATTGATTTTTGCATAATCACTACAAGTCTATGCTAAAATTAAATTACTCTATGGGAATAAAGTGCCAAAACCTCCTTGATACCCTGTGAGATGACGCCTGGATTGCTGCTCCTCGGAGATCAGCAGTTTTGCTGCAAACAGCTGCCATGAGGACCCGCAGGGCTGGTTTGACCAAGCCCCACGCCCGCCCTGGGGACACGGGAGGCTGTGGGGCAGCAGCGAGGCACTGGAAAGATACCGATGCACCCAGCCCTCTGACGGGATTTATGCAGAGGTCATTACGTTGCTACAAGTGGATTTTTATTTCAGCTCCCTGCAAGGATAAACCAGGATTTGGTTGTAAGAGGATGCCTGGAGGCTTGCCCAGGCACAGCCCAAAGCACTCCCTTCCAGTATGGCCATTCCAGGTGCAAGGAAAGCCCCAGCCCTGGGAGCACGGCCTATGCCACGAGTTCCCACAAAACAGAAATCCAGCAGGATATTTACCCTAGCCTGTCCAGGCAGGCTGACGACATGAGGTTGTGCTGCGAGCCAGTGTCCACCACGGCCTTCAGCTCCTTCCCTGCACACTGCAAAAGCAAGCAGAGACAGGACGTGATGCATGGAGTGCAGGAGGAGCGCAGGGTGTCTGGGATCTCTGCTCTGCACACATTGGTCCCTGCCAAAATGCCAACAGCTCCTCACGCCAGCCCATCCCCGTTCCACTGCATGCTCAAGTGTCCTCAGGGTGTCACCTTGTCCGCCCCAAGGCCCTGAGCCCTTCCTGGCAGTATTTGCCCCTGCAGAAAGCAGAAGGGGCAGCCCCAGGCAGGAGGGGCTATTGTGGAGAGTGGGAAATACAAAAGAGCAGGGGGGTAAGGAGGAAAAATGTGAAACTACCCTTGGGGAAAGGAAAAAGGGATGGCACTTGAGGAAAATGGGCTGTGAGCACAGGGATTCACTGTGGATAGTATTACTCCTCAGCCCCTTAGCATGCTGCCCCGGCCTGGCTACTGCCACCACCCTGATGTCCAAGGGAGAACATCCATCAGACCAGTTTTCTCTGTGACACCCAGGTGTGTGTCTGTGCCACAGCAGCCCTGAGCTGCAGAGGGCCAGCGTCCCCACAGCTGTGACAGCCGCAATGGCAACTCTCATCAGGAAATGTGGAGAACAAAAGCATTGCTTGAGGCTGCCAGAAATAAAATTTGCTGGGGAAAAAAGACCCAGAAGGCTAGGCAGGGGCTGTCACCTGGCAGTTCACCACTATGAGCTCCTCGTCCTCCATTTTCCCTGAGCTGCCCGACTGGGTTTGATTCAGCCTGTTGGCCTGCACTGAGATGTCACTCTTGGGAGTCCAGCTGCCTCGGCTGCTTCGCAGTTTTGATAGGTTTGTCTCCATCAGGCGCTTCTGCAGGATATGATGTGGTTGCTTTAAGAAAAAAACACAGAAGAGCAGGGTGAAGTCAGAGGGAGGGCACGAAATGACCTGCATCACCAGCCTGCTTGTGGTGCCCATGGGCCAGCACTGCCCTCACAGAAGGGATGCTCTAAAGTCTCTCTCTCTCCCTGATTCCCAGACTACACATACTCTTCCTAGCCTACGTAATCTATTTGCTCTCCTGCCAGCTCTGGCTTACCCGGCTTTGACTAAGTACTACTTTGTATTGGCAAGGATTCATCCTTTCAAAATATTAACCAGAATTTGGAGGGGTGCCTTTCTTTTTCCAAACTCAAGTTGAAGATTTGAGTCAGGCTTTTCCAAGCTGGTGTTTCAGTCATAATTACCTCCATCTGTTGATAAGGATATTGGGAAGTCTACAGTGATGTGAAAAGTTAAGAGGTAAGAAATTGCATTTCCAATTACATACACCACTGAGGCATGAAAAAGGTGTATGGACATACTGAACCCAGCAGGTGTTTTCATTGAGCACTCTCATTGCTGGCTTAGGAAATGTGTCTAGCCTCCATCTGTACCAATTCTCTTTGCATGAACTGACCCAGAATTTAAGAAGCTGATTCAGGTATTCAAGGTACAACTGCACAGAGAGCTACAGATGGTGTCTCTTGTAAGACCTGATTTGGCCTTTAGATCAGAATTTGGTCTAAAATTACCCTGCACCTCTCTTCCCTCTGCATTTGCATTTGCCTGCTAAGAGTGAGTGAATGGGACCAATCCTGGGTGCCATGCCACAGGAGGGAAAGGAGAAAAGGAGAAGAGGTAAGATTGTCTAAGGTAGGTAGGTAAGTATCTAGGTAGGTGGGTAGGCAGGTATTCTCCTGGGAACCTGCACTCTTCATGCTGTGGCTTCTTTTTTTGTCTGTCATATCCATTTGCTCTGTGAGTAACATGTTGCCTCTCAAAACCTCCTCCAACTGCTTTCCCAAAAGCCTTTTTATGCTTAATGTTCATCATGGGTGGATGCACATACTCTGCTGGAGGTGAAATGACTCTGCTTGATTATCTGCTCATTTCTCTGCCTGGCTAATCTTTCCCCCTTCCACCCCCCCATTACTGCCTACTTGTTCAGATTTTACTTTATCCACAGTGAGACCTTCTTACTGGCTTGTCCCTGATTTTTTGTGTTCATATTAAATATGCCTGTGTATTTACAAAGACATCTAAACCAGTAAACCTCTTCATCCCAAGGGAATTTCAGTGGGATCAGGGTGACTGAAAACCTCATGCTGCAGTTCCTCAAGTTGGCCAGCGTGGACCCTCGTGCACATCTTCAAAATATTCTGTGCAACGTTAAATAACAGCACTTACAAAAGGCTAATGCAACTTGGCATCATCCTAAAATAACTGCAGCCATGTCCGTGCTTCACATCCTGCTGTAGGCATAACGTAGATAGTTAAACTGGACCTGACTGGTGAGATCAGGTAGATGCAGCCAACAATAGTGGTCACCAGAACACATAGACTCCTTTTTTCTCCACTTGTCACTGCTCTTACTACTGCATACCACTTGAGACTGGAAAGGAAATACAATTTCATTACCTTACTGCTCTCTAAAACTACCTTAAAGGAGGTTGTAAAGAGGTGAGGACAAGTGATAGGACAAGAGGTAATAGCCCCAGGCTGCAGCAGGGGAGGTTTAGATTGGATGTTAGGAAGAATTTATTTACCAAAAGGGTTATCAAGCATTGGAACAGACTGTCCAGGGCAGTGGTGGAGTCACCACCCCTGGAGGTATCTAAGAGTCGTATAGGCATAGTACTTTGGGATATGGCTTAGTTAAGGACTTGTCAGTGTTAGGTTAACAGTTGGACTCAGTGATCTTGAAAGGTTTTTCTAATGAAGGTAATTCTGTGATTCTGTGACTTTTGATTGCAGGTACTATGTCTGACCAGCATGCTAGAGAGAATGACCTGTGTAAACACAATAATGCTAATGAGCTCCTAATGACAGGGAAAAATCAGATCCAGCATTGCACTGTCTTCTTCAGGGACAAAAAGTAACAAAGCTACAGCACTGCTCTGGTGACCACTGTCTTCCCAGTGAGGCTGAGCAGCAGAAACCAGTGTTACTCAACTAGAATAAAGGCAGCCAGGCTGGCTCTACTAGTAATGGACCCCGGGCTGAGGGACAATGTTTGGAAGTGAGGGCTCCCTTCCATGAGGCAGAATCTGTAGGTGCATAGTCAGGACTGTGATCACCTCCAAAGCTTCTCATCTGAGAAAAATGCAAGGCAGGGTTTGCCGACAGTGCGTAGTGACCCTTCTTACCCCTTGTGTTTGCCTGCAACTTGGGCACATGTCTGGAGGACTAATTCTTCACATCACCAAAAACCAAAAGGAGGGCACAGGGGACTAAAGCAGTAGATAGGTGAAGTTCCCAGGTGGCCAGAAGACAGCCTGTTGCACAGTGGTCACCTCCTCACTCTCAGCCTCGCTCAGCACGGGCTGAGAGAAATTTCTGAATGGCACCACCCAGGACAGTCTGGGTGCAATTCTGATCTGTTTGGCCTCAATCACAAATACCTTTGACAGAACAGGCTGGAGAAGAGCAAGTCACCAGCACAGTCATTGTTATTAGCTACATGTCGTCTATCATTTATTTAAACTTTTTTTTTTTTTTGGGTCCCTGAAAGTTCTTCTGTGGATTGTTAACCAATTACATATGTGGGTTTTCTCAGGCTCTGGTTTTATGAATCCTGTTTGTGATCCATCACCAAGAAGGAAAAAATCCAGCACTCAGTGAACACAAGTTACCCTCACAAACAAGACTGTCTTCTGTTGACACTTGCTGTTCTGAAAGCTGCAGTGAATCCTGCCTTCAGGGGAACAAATGTTGCTTATGTTGTGCTCCAATACAGAAATAATCTAGCAAGAGTGGGCTGAAAATGTTCCCTGCAGCACCATCTTGTCTCAGGCTATTAATTAGCTTTCTTTAACTTGTATTTCCCTTGACTCTCGTGTGCAACAGAGTGAGGGATCTTAGTCATGGAGATTACTCAAGTGACAGATACGTACTTGGTAAACAGATAATGTGCCAGGGAACATTTGAAATACACATTTGGCTGGAAAACTGCAAGCAGACCATATCTGAGAGTGAGGGAGAGGAGGAAAACCTCCCTCTGACAGCAATGGGGAAGGCAGCTCTCCTTCCAGCACAAGCTGGCGACACAGCTAGGACTGTGTTTGAAGTAACCCAGATTATCTGGCACTGTCTAGTATGCATTGCACAAAACTGTTGAAAGTTTTATAAAAACATAAAATGTTGCATACTATTGCACGTGTGCAAAAATATAAGTTATTCCTTAATATCATTCGGCATAATATAAGTACAAAGCAGGATGCTTTCCATCTGTGAGACTTTGAAAAAATCTATGATCACTAAAAAAGTCACAGTAGGAACCTAAAAGGAGTGGAGACACCAGCTATTGCTGAACCTATTCATCACTGTCTGTGAAAACGACAAATTATTTGGTTTAGTTTGATTCCTCTCTAATGCTGCAGAACACAGCTGCACCTTGCAGTATCCATCTCTCTGGCAGGTTTCCCCCTATTTCAGCTTCTAGATCCAAGGATAACAAGACCCATCAACAACAGTTTCACTGAGGTGGAGATGAAAGTCCAGAAGATGCCAGCTCCTCCCCTCCCCAAACTCATCTCAAGTTTGCCCTCCCTTCTGCACTTAGTACAAAAAAAAGAAGCTTTAACACAGCAACAGAGCTTGTCCCAAGAAATAACAAATTTCTCTCTTTTCTTCCCATCTTTCATCCAAACTTACCTCTCCTACTAGCAACCTGTGCTCAGGTGCTGTCAGTCCTTCTCACAGGGGGATGAGGTGGGACAAGATATGCTCCCTGTCCTCCTGCACCCTCTGGGTGCCCAGGCAGTGGCCAGGCCTCTAAGACAGTGCAAGTAACATCAAAGTGTTTTTTTGCCTTTTAGCCAAGACACAACAAACTGGGGAGTGCACAGTGGGAAAGCAGGGAAAACTGAATGTGCTGCAATTAGCTGTGATGTAGCACCGGCTGCAGGAGCAGTGGGCAGGGCCACAGGGGCACCCAGAGCTGTGCCGGGGACCCAGGCATCCAGGGGAGGCTCTGAGGACATTTTGGGAGGAGGAAATGGTTTTGTTGTTGTTCTTGTTTGTTAATATTTATAGCTTTGTTTCACAGCTTGTAAAATGATGGGGGACTGCTTCAGGCAAAGCCCCTCCAAACCAGTCCAGCACCTCTTGGGGTGAGGACAAAGTGTCAGAGCATAAGGAGGAGCCTCCAATGTCCAGCACACCCTGAGCAAGTCAAGGGGTCACATTTACAGTGTTGGGAAGCCCAAATCCCAGCCAATAACCATCTCATGTCTATTTTCTGGGCTTCAGGGAGGAGGCTAAGAGTGAGGCATCAAAACAAACCAACTTCTGCTCTGTGTCTCCAGCCGTGCATCTGCTGAGTGCAATGTATGCAATTCTATAGCTTGACCTTATACCAGGTAAACAAAGTGGAATTTATGAATGGAATGACAAACTAGAAGAGTTTGGTCCAAGTCCAGAATAATGTACTGAAAAATACTGGAGGCTTAACATGGATAGTTACAACCAATGTTCATCAAACCTGCCTTTACAAGGCATCATCAGGAGAGACTGTTCAGGAGCTGTGTAAGGGCAGCCCACCCAGCTGATGCCCTGCTGCTGCCTCACTGAGCACAGCACCCCCTGGAACTGCTGCCAAAAGGGATTTCTCCCCAAAAACAGGATGACTGCTGCCAGCTGTCAGCATGACAGACAGGGTCTGTCCTCACCACCTGTCCCATCTCGGGGGAGCTGTTACATCCTCTCTTCTCCTGCCAAAGCCACTGGAAAATCCCCATGGGAAACCCTGCATTAGTAATGCCAGGCACGTCAGAAGCCCTTCCACCCACATCACCACAGCTGTTACACAGCTTTAGACCTGAAAATTTGCTGCTTTGTTAGGAGGCATGTAGTTATCTCAAGAAAGCAAGCAAAAGCCCTGGGCAAAGAACTCTGTTGCCCTGGGCCTCCTGACTGTACAGCTCAACCCCTCTGGACCTGGACCTCTCACTTTGAGGCCATGCCAAGGTGCCATTCCACATTTTGGAAGCTCTTGGTGCTTCTCCAGTCTCAGAAATGCACGATCTCCCTCTCCTCCTGGGGACAACACTTGTGACTCCCAGGGAGACAGAAAGGGCCCTCCTGAAGCACTGTGGTGTGAGCCTGGCCGTGCTGGCTCCCTGCAACGTGACCCACTGCAACAACTCTGAAATCCACGGCACCTTCTCTGGGGCTGAAGGAACAGGTCTGAGGACGTGCCAGTACTGCCTCTTTAGGGAGTCCCCATAGGTCCCACAGCAAGCCCTGAGCTCATGTGCCCACTGTCCCATCACCCCTCACTGTGGTGTAGGGGCAAGGTGGTTTTGCAGTGGGGTAGCCCAGACCAGCTCAATTCTCACCCCGTCCCTGGCTGGAGAACCACCACAGCCAGGGTAGCCAGGACAGCCAGGGCAGGCAGCACACTCCTGCCATGCCACACCTCCTTTGTGTCCTTGGATGGATCAGGAACTGAGGACCTCCCCAAGGGCTTGGGCACATCCCTGGAGAGAGCCCTCCATGCTGACCCTCCTCTCAGGGGCTGTGGGTGCAGCAGGGACGATGCTGCAGCCACGGCTCAGCTGAGACAGGCACAGGAGCAGGGAGGAAAACTTGGGTGACATATCTGTGGCCAGAACCATGGAGAGGAACCCCATGCTCTGCCCTGGCATCGGGGCCAAACCTGGTCCTCACTGCCAAGGGGACAAGGATTTCAGTGCTCAGTGCCCCTGATTCTTGCTACCTGTTGCCTCTCTCATCTGGGCAGAACAAAAACCCCTGTCATCGGGGTCTCATCCCCGCACACTGTGGGTTGCTGAGCTACTCTGCAGGTAACAGTAACAACAGCATCATTATGCTCTGAAAGGCACTTTGTTGCTCCTCAGTGGAGAGCTGCCATTCCATGGAGACCAGGAAAGCTCCTTTTGAGCCTTTCCCTGGGCAGGAGTTTCATTCCCTACAGCTGCAAAACACTTGGGATGTCAAAAAAAATCACATCCATGTACACTGCAGAGAACAACCAACTCATTCCACATATCTCAGCCAGTCAGAGCCAATCCTAACCCAGATGTGCAGGGAGGCACAGAACTACCCCATTAAAAATAGAAAGATTAATTTTTTTCAATGTACTTCTATTGGGCATTGAAAAAAAAAGCACCTATTCTGTGTTAAAAGGTGCAAGAATTTTGCAACAATTAGGCAAAAGAAAAAACCCAAACAAAACAGACACACACACACACACAAAAAAAACACAAACAAACAAACAAAAACCAAACCTTAAAGGAGCTTTTCTTGGTAGGATATATTTTCTAGATTTTGCTCTTTACATCAGAAGTTTTTATATTAAATTTAAGTATCATTTTTCCATTAGAGAAAACTCAATCATTTGTGTGTGTTAGCATTTAGAAATGATCTCCAGCCTCTGGGCATGGTGAAGAGTATTGTAGGTCAGCTACAGGGTCACATGGATCATTGCATATGTAAATATTTTAAACCTAAATTATGCACCTTCATTTTAAAAAACATACATATATATATATATAAAACTTTATCAAAGTGTAATCTTGGCAGTCTCATATTTGGAAGTACTAGTGGCTGCACTTTACAGAATCTTTTATGATTTTATGTTTTGATTATATATGTATCATACATCATTATATGTGTATAAATGTATATATTATATGAACCCATTTTGATTGATTCAGAGAGGTTTTTTACAATGAAAACAGTTTCCTTCTTCTGACATTCATGCAAATGTAAAAAAAAACAAACCAAAAATACAAAGCTTTTTCATCTGAGTGCCAGACATCTGAAAACACCTACAAGCAAAAAGCAACCCTGGTAATAATTAGCAAATTTCCACTCCCTTCTTTTTGCACACAAAAGCCTCATTTTTACACCAATTTCTACTACCAACCAACTTCTCCTGACAGAAAAATGGAACAAAAACCAACAAAAATAAAGCTGACGCTGCCCTACCAGCTTCTCACGTCTCCTGCCAGCAAACACAACAAAGCCTTACAGTGTCTTTGGAAGTGCCCAGCTTCTTCAGCCCGTCCAGAGGCAGGAGATCCGCAGAATCCTTGTGAATAAACTGCACCGCCTGCTTCATCCTCCTCTGCTGGCGGAGAGACGCCGCTTCCCTGATCTCCACTTCTTTTCTGCTCGGCTCCGTCAGGATACCCGAGTAAAACATCCTCCCGCCCGTGCCCGGCTCGCTTCTTGAGGATGTGCGGAGATGGAGCTGGGAGAGGCTCCGCCGCCCGCGCTTTATAGGCAGAGCGCGGTGACGCCGCCGGCCCGGCAGGTGGGGGGTGGGCACG